CACAAAATCTCTCCCTCAAGTCCCAATACCTTACACTTTGACAAAATTGACACCTCACATGACTCAGATGTCAACTCCTGTTATTTGGACTTCACAAGTAGCGCATGTTAGTGGTGTAGCTCCTTAGAGGATATCCGAACAATTTGCAGATAATTGTTGTGTAAGTTATTAGGTTAGGGTGAATACACCATTATTTAAATGTGGAGTTTATTTGCAAAATTGTTTTTCCTGGCATTTCTCATATAGACAACTTACCACCCTCCCATTTCCAAAAGTACATCTCTGCTGATGCACACACAGACTCGAAGTACCATCTGCATATACAGACTAGGGCAAGTAGAATTGGAGCTGTGCAGGTATTTCTACCTACACCTACCGTAACCTGCATTGGTCCATGTACAGGTTTATATACAAATGTAGGTGTATGTGGATTTTTATTTGCTGACTTACCACCTATGAAGCCTTAAAGAGATAATGACAATGTATTTTGACAGTTGTTAGTATGACCTTCCCAAAGTGACCAAAGTCCGAGTAGTGCAGGGTAAAAATATCTCTGGTGACACAATGTGCAATGTCACCAGCACCTGTGCAGATATGCAGAAAAAACATTTCAACCCCTGATGGATCAAAAGAGAAAGTTCTGTTTACATACATACAAACTTTCTGTAGAATAGGAATAGCTGACAATTGCCAGCCCAAAATATTCAGATGTCACTGCTTTTATCTTAAACTGCTGCAACTATTACACAGTGCCTACAACCAAGGACATTGTAATGTCTTTGCTACAACTGAATAGGCAAAGTTTGCAGTTCCATGATCTCATACATTTGTAACTTCGCCAAATGATTATTGTATCATCAATTTGCTTGTAACATACGTCTCAAATGTGAAATCTCTATCATTTATGACAATTTATCATTGTGGCTTCTCATTAACTGCGCAAATAAGATCTTCATTTTGCACCAAGTCTGCTGATGATCTTGTCCCAAATTACTTACTGTAAATTTGGAAACATTTGCAGTTGTTTTATTTTTGCTGTGACTTCTATGTGTTTGAACTTATGACACTAGGAATATGTGTTTCCAATGTATTATTACATCCACGAGAAATGGAGGTAACGTTAGGCCACACCAATTTAATTTGTTGGTTCTCGGATTTTTTCAGAAAAAATATGAAGCGACAGGGCGAAAAAAAATAAAAACAGGTCTAGGCATCCTATTATAGGCTTAAATGCTACAAAATGAGCCATGAAGTCAACACAAAAGGCTGGGTTAAAATTTAAACATTGAATTTTGAACTTTTAATCAAACCACTGCAATGATAGATGGGAAAACTGTAACAACTAGGAAGAAAAGGACTTTCCTCAACTGTTGGGGGCAAAACCTGAGCATTTTTCAGTTGATTCAGGACCAGAATCAATTTTTTTTTGCAAATCAGAAAAAAACGAAGAGGCGAATCCGAGAACCAACAAATTAAATTGGTGTGGCCTTATGTGTATTTTTTTGGCTTGTGTGTTTCAATAGATTGTAGCTGAGACTTTGTGTCTTTGCAACTGAGGAGCAATACAGAAGGTCGTGTTGCCACCAAGGTCGGGTCGTGTGGTGTAATGGTACATAGAGTGTTCAACTCAGACGGAAGAGGTCCCGGGTTTGAACTCTGCCCGATGCAACCGTTCTTATGCCCTTGGGTAAGGCAGTTTACATGACTTTCCTCACTTCACGCAGGTGTAAAATGAGTACCTGGAGGTCCTATGTTTGGGGCAACCACACCACACTCATGTTAAAGAACCCACATTTATTGAAGAGTAGGGGAGTGTGAGTGGTTCAAACCTTAGTCCTGTGGCCATACCTGGGGTTGTATTGAGGTCATCCGAGTTAGCGGCAGCCGCTCCAATAATCGTTAACTCCTCACAAATCAGCCCTTGGCTGCAAAGAGTAGCTGGCCCACCCACCCAATATAGGGTCAGATTGTCATCAATCACAATGCTCATATGGTGACACAATCGAGTTCTGATTCCTTGTGTGTTTCAACTTTCTGCACCTGCCATTTTGCCATGTAATAGTCAAACTTACTTCCATAATCAATGGCACAAATAAAACAAAACATTTATTGAAATGTGAAATACCTTTATTAAAGCTAAAAATGTTTCATGTAGGTATAAGATCTCTGAATTGTTGTAACTTCTGTCTGTAAAATTTTGCTAAGAAAATGTCCTCTTTCCAACAGGGCTAACATCATCCAGTGTGTTTAGCCATAATGTGTCGCTCTAAAGTACCTTTTATTACAGTAGAATACGCACACTGGTCACATGTCATTTGTAGGGTTTTTCTCCAGTGTGTTTAGCCATAATGTGTTGCTCTAAAGTACCTTTCCTTGCAGTGGAATATGTGCACAGGTCACATTTGTAGGGTTTTTCTCCTGTATGTATCCTCAAATGTAGAGAAAGGTTACTCCGGTAAGCCGTCCTGTATCCACACTCTCCACACATAAAGGGTTTTTCTCCAGTGTGTTTACCCAGAATGTGTTGCTCTAAATGACCTTTCGTTGCAGTAGAATACGCACACTGGTCACATTTGTAGGGTTTTTCTCCAGTGTGTTTAGCCATAATGTGTCGCTCTAAATGACCTTTCCTTGCAGTAGAATACGCGCACTGGTCACATTTGTATGGTTTTTCTCCTGTATGTATCCTCAAATGTAGAGAAAGGTAACTCCGGTAAACCGTCCTGTATCCACACTCTCCACACATAAAGGGTTTTTCTCCAGTGTGTTTAGCCTTAATGTGTTGCTCTAAATGACCTTTCCTTGCAGTAGAATACGTGCACAGGTCACATTTGTATGGTTTTTCTCCTGTATGTATCCTCAAATGTAGAGAAAGGCTACGCCGGTAAGCCGTCCTGTATCCACACTCTCCACACTTGTAGGGTTTTTCTCCAGTGTGTTTAGCCATGTGTTCGTCTAAGCGACTTTTATATACAGTAGAATACGCGCACTGGTCACATTTGTAGGGTTTCTCACCTTTATGGTTCTTGATATGCTTTGACAGATGGGACCTGTCGGCAGTCTTGAAATCGCATTCTCCACACTTGTAGGGTTTTTCTCCAGAGTGTTTAGTCATGATGTGTTCACGTAAATGGCCCTTTTGTGCAGAAGAAAAGCCACAGTGGTCACACTTGTAGGGTTTTTCTCCTGTATGTATCCTCATATGTAGAGAAAGGGCATGGTTGTAAGCTGTCCTGTGTTCACATATTCCACACATGTAGTGCTTTTCTCTGGTGTGTTTAGCCATTTTCTAAACACACTTTTCTCTGGTGTGCCACAGCTCCTCTCAGCCCTTTCTGAAATAATGACGAGAACGAATTAAACCTGAGTGACTGACAAAGAAATATGCACCATTAATTTATGCTAGAGCAGCAGTATACCGTATTCTAATACAACAAGGCATATCTTACAAGCGAGGTGATGAAAACCTACACAAGGCCACACCTTGTCATATCCTTCATAAATTTGTCCAGATTTACTGTTTCAGTAATCATAAATGATGGAACTAAAGTAAAAAAAAGCTCAGTCACGCACAGTCATCTTTCAAGAGATGTTAAAGTTCTTTTCTGTTACAAATTCTATACTCTGCCCCCCTCCCCATAATTTTGAGGGAGATAACGTTATAACCCAACCCTCAAAACTCTCCTGTTCCTATCTTCATCAAGTTCATGTCGTATCATCATCAACCAGTGAACATAAATAACTAACAAACAGTTTTTTTTCCTAAGGTCCAGCGCAGGACCGCTAGGAGGGTCTCTCAAAACGCCAGCCTACCAATTTGAAGCACTGAAGCGACGGACATTCACAAGTGGCATTTTGACCATCGTCAGAAAAAATATCGTTTTTCTTTAAATATATCTAAGACGATTTTAAGACAACTGTAAAGGAGATTCAAGAGAACAACAGAGTTGAGACCTTCTTCTTCTTTGAGAACAGACTTGATACAGACCTTCTTCCTCTTTGCGAACAGACTTGAGACAGACTTTTTCTTCTTTGAGAACAGATTTGAGACCTTCTTTTTCTCGCCACGTGCACACTTGTGGTCTCCTTCATGTATTACTCCGAGTGTACCTAAAAGAGTACCAAGTCAAAAACTAAACGGCTGTATGAACGCGTGTTTTTATTAGTGAGAATTTTCCCTTGGAATTGGCCATCTCAACTGATGTAAAACGTCAAAGCGGTGAAAGCTTGTTTGTAACTGGTGAAATTAGGACGTAGTTGTTGGCAGCCGCGCGCTAGGTCGGACGTACACAGTCCAGTGTTGTGAGTTGTGCGGTCCGAGTAGGTTTGCAGCGCGGGAGGGCCCTCTTGCGGGCAGCCGCTAAGTGCAGTTTGTAATTCCCATAAGGCCATGTTGATTTGATTATATGGATGACATCCTCCGGGAGCCCCAAAACTGATGCGCGCGTGCGAATAAAAAAAAAGTTTTGCAAAAAAAAAGTTATTTTCATTATGACATCTACGTGGTCATGAGGGTTGAGCAAATGGCACAGAAAATGGTTTGGCGAATAATCTAGTCTTCAAATTCATTTCTTTACAATTTCGTCTTTTTTCGTTTGATTTTGGCATTCTACGACATTGGTATAGTTTTTGTTAATTTTTTTTGTAACTTATGGTATATTTTTGCTCATTTTGCAACTGTTTTGTACGATTTACAGTATGGTTGAAAACGTTTTTTTTTTTGGAAACGGCCGAAAATTCATGCGCGCGCGGATGTCATCCATATAATCAAATCAACATGGCCTAATGGTCAAATAATGTGTCCGTTCTAGGGCGAGCTTCACCGCCTCTGGCAGGACCACGTCGGCATTCGGCCGAGATACGCTGGGAGGGGGGCATCAGCAAGCAGGTCGTTGACCTCTGATGAAAACACGCAAGGTAGCGTGTTATTAATGTCAAACAACAATGATTGTAGCTCAGGCGAATTGTGATCGGACACGGTTTCAAAGGAATGTGTGGCAAGTGGACCAGATGTGAGGAATGCGAGTTACCCGAATCGCGGTCTGGGTGACTTCACATGAACAAGGCTATAGCTACAGATATGTTGTGGTATGTGGTATCTCTGCAGAGCCAGGTGGACTATCATGTGGGACGGATCCAAACGCATTTTGCAGGTCTAGCCACGCTACATGGACAGTTTTCGATTGGGCCCTAGCATCCCTGATAATCTCATTCAGAACCAGTGAGTGTTCTACACATCCCGACACTCCCTCCAGGAATTCCTTTTGTGCTTCACTCTCGATGATATTGTTCTTGACAAGGAATTCGATGATACGACCCCCTACAATAGAGTGGAACAGTTATGCTATTGTGCTAATCAGTGAAATCATTCTGAAATTCATATTCGTCATGAAACTTGAAAACAGCAATAAATCAGTGGAACAGAATTGTCACCCTGTTCTGTTTCTTAGATATTACATCTGCCCTTTGTTCATAGTAACTATTAATCTCCAAGCAGATCCTAGGGTGGCATATATGGTCATATATGATAACGCCAGGCGGTATCTATTGGCCAGAGAGGATCTAACGTGGCGCGTTGGACCCTCTCTAGTCAATGGATACTGCATGATAGTGTCTTATGCCACCCTAAGATCTGCTTGGAGATAACATAGTTACAAGAAGCGGAATTTCTTGTGTGTGTGTCATCTGAAAACAGTCCAAAATAAATGCGCGTGTGTACGTCATCCATAAAAGTTACTTGATGTGGCCTTACCAAAGCCTTAGCCCTATTTCTAACCGAACATGAGGTATAATTAAACTTTATCCACGCTGTCAACCTAGCCTCCACCAGGCCTTTCTACGGGAATTCGGATCGTAGAATTCGGCAAAAAAAGAGAGTCAGGGGAGTCCGGCCGTGTTTCTTTCCGAACTGCGCGGCCAGTCAAACCTACAAGGCCGCCAAACTCCCCTGGAAAATATTCTCCTACATGTATATACTAGTATTATAGCATTCTGGTAGAGACTACTGTCAATCACAGTTAGCAAGTGAAGTGTAGCCTCGAGCAGGGGAGGCGGCGAAGTCCGGCGCCCATTGATAATACATTGTAAAGTATATCGGAGAGGGCCCGTCCCTTGCAATACTTAATACACGCTACATCGGAGAGGGCCCGCCCCTTGCAATGCTTAATACAGGGTACATCGGAGAGGGCCCGCCCCTTGCAATGCTTAATACACGGTACATCGGAGAGGGCCCGTCCCTTGCAATGCTTAATACAGGGTACATCGGAGAGGGCCCGTCCCTTGCTAAGCTTAATACACGGTACATCGGAGAGGGCCCGTCCCTTGCTAAGCTTAATACACGCTACATCGGAGAGGGCCCGTCCCTTGCTATGCTTAATACACGGTACATCGGAGAGGGCCCGTCCCTTGCTAAGCTTAATACACGGTACATCGGAGGGTGCCCACCGCTTGCTATGCTTAATACACGGTACATCGGAGAGGGCCCGTCCCTTGCTAAGCTTAATACACGCTACATCGGAGAGGGCCCGTCCCTTGCAATGCTTAATACACGCTACATCGGAGAGGGCCCGTCCCTTGCTATGCTTAATACACGGTACATGGGAGAGGGCCCGTCCCTTGCTATGCTTAATACACGCTACATCGGAGAGGGCCCGTCCCTTGCAATGCTTAATACACGCTACATCGGAGAGGGCCCGTCCCTTGCTAAGCTTAATACACGGTACATCGGAGGGTGCCCACCGCTTGCAATACTTAATACACGGTGGATCGGAACGGGTCAACACCTTTCCGTACTTCATATCCGCC